AAATTTCTTCGATCTCTGCCGAAGGATCGTCGCGGATGCATTCGCCTACTGTAGAAGAATCGAAAATTCCAACGGTGCGAATAATCCCGATCTACGTCTACAACATGTTAGCAATATCGCATAGCAACTTTCGCAGGTCGCCTTCTTCCCCATCGGCCTCGATCCCATCCCATTAGTGTACAACTCGGAGCCATTCACAATCGCGTCGGATCGCTTCTCATGTCAGCAATACTAATCCGATTCGGCATTGTGTGCATCCACGGCGCGTTCAGGGATCCACGTACCTGCTTTTGGATTGTTCTCATTGGCACTGTATCTACGACATTTGCTAACATTTCCGGCGGATCTCCCAAGTCTGAACCGTCAGTTGTCCAAGGAACTGCATAACTTCTAAAAGCTACATTGAAGTTACGAAGTGATGCTCTGTTTGGCACCTTTTCCTCCAACCCTGAGAGAGGTAGAGAGGCAGAAGGATGGAGGAAACGGCGAACATGATCGCATGCCATAGTTTTCCGTATAGTAAGGGAAGTTTTAGATGTAGCTACTCGCATGATTCAACCTGGTGTGACCACTGATGAAATTGATGTTGTGGTCCATGAAGCTACTATCGCTGTTGGTGCATATCCATCCCCCCTAAATTATCATTTTTCCCCAAATCATGCTGCAAGTCAGTGAATGAAGTGATCTGTCATGGGATTCCTGACGCCAGGAAGCTAGAGGATGGTGATATTGTAAATGTGATGTCACTATGTATTATAAAGGGGTTCATGGCGATCTCAATGTTTGTAATGGGGATGAAGCTTCTCGGCTTAATGCACATACGAATGCTTGGATAAATCTATATCAATTGGTTGGTCTTGTTTTCTAAAGCTACATCCCAACCTCGTGTGGATCATCTGCTCCCTCGTATGCTTGAAGTTCGCAGCGTCGAAGGTGATCTGCGTGTTCTGTCGTGCGAGATTTGCTCCCCATTCGGAACCCGTGTTCTGCCGCTGCGAGCCCGTCATCTCGTTCTCTGTTCCACTGGAAACAATGGGCACAGGCGGGAGGGAGGTCTGGACTGGTATCGTCTCAGGCGCCATAACAGGCAATGCCACCACCTAGGCACGGAGTCGCTGGTTTCTGGTTGGTTGGCCAGTTTGGTTGATCGCTTTTGGTGTTTTCCAACCACTGATCGTTGTAAATTTACAATGGCCATAGTTGGAAAAGGCATGCATGCATTTCCCACAATATGCGTACGTGTATATATATATATATATATATATATATATATATATATATATATATATATATATATATATATATATTATGTTTCTTAAATAATAGAGTGATATTAATAAGTGGACCACTAAGCAAAATGGGACACTGAATTATTTATTACATCAAAGTAAAATATAAGGGTCGATTCATGGTCGTGGTTGTGTGCGCCAGCCCCGATTTATAACGGTGATACGAGGTCCATCCTCGCTCACTACCTGGCAGAAGAGTCTATTTTTGGTTCATTACATATACATTGGTTCGACCAACAATATATTTTTATTGTAATGAAGTATTTTTAATGGCAAAATTAGAACGAATTCGGCAAATTTTTACCCTTCTGAGGGGGAGTGGGGTCGAGACCAAGGACTTCAGACCAACGGTTCCCAGATCATTGTGAACTGCATCTCCAAGTCATGGTCCACGGGCCAATTCCGGTTTCAAAAAAAAAAAACATATATGTATTGCTGGCTCAATGCTTTCCCTAAGGGCTAGCACATTCCGTGGTCAAGCACCGAGCCTAGGCACGGAAACGTTAACATCACCCTAAGGGGGCACGAGGACCGACCTCGCGTACCAACCCCGACGCAAGAGCCTAACGGCCCGGTGTCAAATGACTCGGGTTGAAGGGCTACCACCCTAAGGGGGCACGAGGCCCGACCTCGCGTACCAAGCCCGACGGAAGAGCCTAACGGCTCGGTGTCAAATGACTCGGGTTGAAGAGCTACCACCCTAAGGGGGCATGAGGTCCGACCTCATTTGCCACCCGACGGAAGAGTTTTTGGACTGAGAGTACCCTTGGCCAAATAATTACATACTACGTAAAAAAAACAAAAAAATAAAAATAAAATCATACGAGCAAAAAGTCTAATAAGCGACCCCGCATCGTTCGAACTCCCCTCTCGAACAAAGAGGACTTGGATCAGATATTAAAGCGCAAGGCTAGAAGCTTAAAATGTGTTGGAATAAGCAAAATATATTTATTCGAGTTGACCGGCCTTGAAGCATTTGTCTAAGCATGGAGCCCCGAGTAACTTCGATTGGGCTAAATGTTTACTCTCTCTCGTTGTTGACTTCTCGCAACTCAAGGAGTGGGGGACTGATGATGGATATATTGGAAATGCCTTGGCCCAATAATAGGGACCGGGGGTCTATGAGCCCATCTCTCGGGGCCCAAGAATATAATTTGAGCGGCCCAAGGGTCCAGGACTCGGAGCCCGCCTCCGGGCCCAGAGTGGTGGGCCTTGACTTGGTCTCGTGGCCCACCATGTGGACCTTGATTTATTCTTATGGCCCACCATATGTCTAGCTATATTGGTTGTGTTTATTTCTTGTATAAGTAGCCATTATCTAGCCTAGCCAAAGGATATTCAAGATCATTACAACACATATTCTTTGTAATATCTTTATATTAATCTATACTACATCGATTCTACTTGTTTATATACATTTCACCCCTTCATATATTATAGGCGAGATTATTGACCCGTATAATTACATACCCGAGGTTAATTTTCTCATCATCATATATATATATATATATATATATATATATATATATATATATATATATATATATATATATATACTACAAGAAAAATGCACATAGACAACACTAGAAAGACAACAGTTTTTAAGAAAAGTGTTGTCTTTTGTATAAAAGACAACAGTTTGGTTCAAAACCGTTGTCTTTGATACAACACTTTTGTCAAAGACAACGGTTTTTACTTAACCGTTGTTATAAGTGTGTTGTCTTTGTGCATTTTGTGAAAAGACAACACCACAACGACAACGGTTTTTTAAAACCGTTGTCTATGTGCGTTTTTTTTTAAATAAGACAACGGTTTTTTTAACTGTTGTCGTTGGTGTGTTGTCTTTAAGCGCACTGGAATACACAACACTAGAAAGACAACGGTTGTTTAAAACCGTTGTCTTTGTGCGCTCTTTTTTTTTTTTAAAAAGACAACGGTTTTATTTAACCGTTGTCGTTGGTGTGTTGTCTTTAAGTGCACTCGAATACACAACACTAAAATAACAACGGTTTTATATGACCGTTGTCGTTGCGCACGGTTTTATTTAACCGTTGTCTTTGGTATGTTGTCTTTAAGCGTATTTGATAACCGTTGTCTTTGGTATGTTGTCTTTAAGCGTATTTGAATACACAACACTACAAAGACAACGATTTTACAAAACCATTGTACAAGGATGTTAACAACAAGAGTTGAACCTATGACTCAAATTTAACAAGTAAATGATCTAACCAACTAAGCAACACAAACTCTTATGTTTAAAAGTGCAACATCTGGTATATAACTGGGTTACTTCTGTGTTGTTTGTGAAAACCAAGACAACAATTTTAGAAAATAGTTAAAGAATTCTCCCCAAGAAGAATAGAACCTAAAACCTCTAACATAATAAACTAAGCTAAACCCACCAAGCTACACCAACACTTGCGTACTTAAGTGCAACATCTAGTATATTACCAATTTGCTTATGTGTTGTCTTTGAGAACCAAGACAATGATTGTATAAAATAGGTTAAGAATACCACCACGAAAGATAGAACCCAAGACCTTTATCATAACAAATAAAGCTAAATCTACCAAGCCACACCAACTCTTATGTATTAAAGTGTTACACCTTATCTTTTACCTATAATTTAATAAAGAAAGAATACAATTCAAAAGTTAATTTAATAGTTCTATTTTCGTTCATATTTAAATATAAAATTATTCACCAAAATTTCAAAGTAAATTCATTAAAGTTTTATTTTCAATTATATTACAATTAAGACCAATCTATGAATTCAAAAAAATCATAATAATTATCAAGTATAAAAAACAATATGGGGTGGTGTTCATAATGGTGCAGTATGATGTGTAGGGATTAAGGGCGGTATGATAGGGGCCGGGATTGGTAATCGACTCTTCCGGCTAGCGCATGACTAACAAGGTTAGCTATATGTTGGTAATCGACCATTCCGGCTAGCGCATGACTAACAAGGTTAGCTATATGTTGGTAATCGACTCTTCCAACTAGCGCATGACTAACAAGGTTAGCTATGTTGGTAATCGACCCTTTCGGCTAGCGCATAACTAACAAGGTTAGCTATATGTTGGTAATCGACCCTTCCGGCATGCCTGGGACACGTTGAGAATGGATATGAAAGAGTAGTTGATCGATGCCGTACAGTTAGCTATATCCCATTTCTTTTGCCGCGATCTTAATAAGCTCTATGTTCATAATTACCAAACTATATAACCAAACTATATATTCATAATTTTTTTTAATTGAAATGTATATTCATAATGATTGAATAACTCTGATCTATATTTACAATTACAGAACTTTATGTTTATAATTTGCGATGTTCATATTCTCAAGTGTTGATAACTATACAGTTTAGAAATTATGAATCAACAATACAGAAATTATGAATCTGCAGTACAGAAATTATGAATTTACTGTATAGAAATTATTAATCTATACAACTGTATTTAAATTAAAAATATACTGTATATAAATTATAAATCTACATTATAGAAATTTATAAATCTCGTGTTCTGTACCTATATACCCGGTACTATTTTAATTGACCGGATGTAGCGACCTGAGTAATTAAACTAATATTTTGTTACGAAATTTCCCTCTAAACTGACAAAATTTTCCTCTAAAACAAAATTTTCCTCTAAGACAAAATTGGGGATGAAATTTTTGTCCTCCCTCTAAGACAAAATTGCGCACACGAGTCTCTTACTCTCTCTCTAGCCGACCCTCTGCCCTCGCCATTCGTCAAAGGAGTGCTCGCCGTCGTCGGACGACTCCCTCTCTGCTCCGTCGCCGTCTGACTCTCGACCAGTGACCAAGATGACCATCGCCCTGGTCTCTCCCGCCGTCTCCCTCACTGTCTCTCCCTCCGCAAGTCCGGTAGTCTCTCGTTTGGTCTCCGAGACGGCCACAGCCCTGGTCTCTCATCTCTCACCGGCCACCGTACTGGAGGTAAATGATATTCTGCTTTCACATTTCATGGCTGCCGTATATGAAAGTGTAGAAGAATATTTTACATACCTCTCTATCTCTTGTTACCGTAAAGTGTAGAAAAATATTTTACATATTTCACATTTTTGAGAAATAGGAATTTGTATGCATATTAATTTTTGTTTAGGTCCTCCGAACTTAAATTTGCATATGTTTAGGTCCATATTCTATTACTGTATCTGTGAATATTGAACTGTTGCATTCTATTACTGTAACAGTGAATGTACAAAATGGAGTCTATTACTGTGCCTTTAGCTTTTCTAGATTCTGACTTATAGATGAATCTTGTTTTGGTTGTTCGTTACCTCTGATTTTCTTGTCCTTTTTGCGATTTCACCTGATAATTATTCTCTATCCTAACCCTTTTCATGTAGACATCAACAGCAAGAACAATTGATTCTTAAGTGTAGTCTTTAGGTTAAAGTGATATGATCTTGTAGTCCAACTGTCATCCTTATTATAAATTATTCTTTTGAAGTATTATTATAGCTGTTTGGTAAAAGTCTGTCCATATCTAATCACAGTATTATCATGGAATCTAAAGTTGATATAATCTTTTGAAAACTTGAAATATTCCTTAATCATTTGTGAATTTTGATTGTTGATTGTTTTCTTTGTCACAACCTCCCATTTAATTTGATTAGGTCGTCAAGTTAAAAATTATTTTACACTTCCATTGTTGGAATATGGGTTGGAGTTATATGTGTTTGCTGTTTTAGTATGCTTAAAGCTACATGAGAGTATTTCTGCTCATTTTGGTCTTAATCTTTTAGTTACTGGTATGGTTGAGAAGATTTCTGATTGAATACTTGTATGCAGTATAGCTTTGTTATATCAAATATAGTTATATAAGGGCATATAGAGCATTAGTCACTACTCAAAGTCACAATTATTCCATTTTAGAAGGAAAAAAAGAGAGATGAAATTAGATACATATGACAATAATATGAATGATCCACTTGTGTTTTATCCTAATGTCCTAAAAGTCTGAAACTCCAATTTACAAAAGTTTTGTGGAATGTTTTGTCAGGGCTTGTAGTATAGGCAGCCATTTAGAACTTTGAATTTTATAAATAAACTAATCTAACTGTGGACTACAGTTCTTGAAACAAATGTGTAGACATGAACTAGTATACATATATATTTGATTTAAGTTGTGTTGTTTTTACATTTTTGTAATTGAATCTGTACATGCAGGGACTGGGGCAGGCGCTTCATGCGATTGTTTCCACAATATACTTCATGGGACAATCCAAAAGACCCAGAAATACCACTGATTATTGGATATGTGTCTCCTGATTATTTCACTCATTCTGTGTCATATTTCATTGAGGCTCCCCTTACCTATCATGACTATGCAAATTATAAATTGGTCATCTATTCAGCTGTTGTTAAGGTACTGTCATATTGCAGTTGTAAATTTCCTTGTATCTCTAAATACTTCTAGTAATTGTTCCATGGATTGGTTTGAAGAACCATAACTTTCTTTTGTCACTGTTATACAATGGTGTTGCAGGCAGATGCAAAAACCAACAAATTTAGAGATAGAGTTTTGAAAAAGGGTGGGGTCTGGAGAGATATCTATGGGATTGATGAGAAAAAAGTTGCTAGCATGGTCAGAGAAGATAAAGTTGACATCTTGATAGAACTCACTGGTCTGCAAACAATAAGCTGGGAATGATGGCATGCCGACCTGCCCCTGTTCAGGTAAGATTGGTGTACAAGTAACCTGGCCACCTTTTTTATTTATGGTGCTTTTACTTTATGATTTATTAGGATCTGAGTATGGATTTTTCCTGATAGTTGACAAATACCAACTTTGTAAGTAATGCTTATTTATGGGTCTTGGGACTGCTATGAATTTTGATGTGCCATGTAGAAGAAGGGTCAATACTTGACCAGTTTGGCATATGTACAGTTGTACACTGTAACTCCTCCTAACTTTAAGGATTTAATACTTACATTATAACATGTGACAATTTATGGGCATAATAAATACTAAGAGCATAGGTCTACAACTCTACATACTTCCATGATCAATTTTCCTGTCTGGACATCCATAAAAAAATGTATGCTAGTAGGAACATACAACTATTTTGGTGGCTTCATTTTGTCTTAATTGCTAATTCTATTACGTAGCCAGCCAGTATCTCTTATAAGGGTTACAATTCATAGTAACATAGTTCACTAGTCTTTCGCTGAGAACGTTATGTGTGGCCTGTTGGAAGAAGCTTTTGTTGACTTTCCACTCTTATAGGTGACTTGGATTGGCTACCCAAATACTACAGGCTTGCCTACCATTGACTACAGAATTACTGATGCACTTGCCGACCCTCCTGATACAAAACAAAAGTACGTGACATTCATTACTTCTCAAGGTTTTACTCTCATGTTTGTTTAAGTGGTGGATCTAGACATCTAAGTTATTGTGGATGTTTTAATTACAGACACATTGAGGAGTTGGTTCGTTTGCCAAAGTGCTTTCTTTGTTATACACCTTCCCCTGAAGTGGGGCCTGTATCTTCAACTCCTGCCCTGTCCAATGGCTTTGTAACTTTTGGTAGCTTTAACAATCTGGCAAAGGTAATATTTATGGGTTTAGGTAGTCGTATGTTACAAATGATGCATATAACAGGATCTGATGCCATTTGTTTGCTCTTAAATCATTCTTCTAATGACAGATAACACCAAAAGTGTTGCAAGTATGGGCAAGGATCCTATGTGCAGTTCCTAATTCACAGTTGATTGTAAAGTGTAAACCTTTTTGTTGGGATAGTACAGTGTAAGACAGGGATTTCTTTCAATGGAGCAGTTGGGCCTGGAACCACAGCGTGATCTGCTACCTCTAATTCTTCTTAACCATGATCATATGCAAGCATACTCTCTTATGGACATTAGGTAATTTCTTTCCTTGTTATAAAAATGTTGGGTATCTTTTCCATTCCACTTGCGAATGGGTAAAAACCATGAGGGGACACAAGTGATTATTGTTATGTTTATGCAGAATTGGGTTCCAGAATTTTGATGCATGCATGATTACAAACTAACTAGCTACTAGCTAGGTTGAATGTTAGTTAGTTGTACTATGTTTATGATATATATATTAGATGTTGCATGCATGTCAATGAGTATAGTACAGTTAGTTGTCTTTAGATCTTATTTGGGACCTGTGCCGCTCTCAATGATTATTGTTTGTTATTTCTTATAATAATATTTTGCATGTTTTTCAAGTATTTGTTAATCTTTTTGTTGTTGTCATGGTCTTGTCAAAAATCATATAATTATTTTGCAAATTTATTGTATCTATACTAATTTATTTACTCACTATTTACATGTAGTTTCAACAAGTTGATTATGACAAAGCGGTTATTGATCTGGTGCGTTCAGAATGGGCCGATATTCTATCAAGTTATATGGAGTAGGTATGATTTGACGTTGTGATCATTTAGACTTGGTTCGTGGATCGGAATTGTTTTTTTGTAGTATTATGACTTGGATGATGATTTGATTAGAATTGGTCATGCTCAGTATTTAGACTTGTTATTTTGAACCTTGCTTAGCTTGTGCAATGTAACTACACTTGGTCATGGTGAATGGATAAATTGTTTTTTTTTATATGATTAAAATTTAAACAGGTTAAAAACGGGTTGAGACAACGGTTAAAAGTTGTCTATTTTACAATAGACAATAGTTTCAAATTGTTGTCTTTTTTTACAAAAGACAATAGTTTGAAACTGTTGTCTTTTCTACAAAAGACAACAGTTTATGGGTGTGACTTTTAACAATAGTGATTTCAACAATACACAATAGACAACAGTTTATAACTGTTGTCTTTTAAAGAAAAGACAACAGTTAAAAACTGTTGTCTATGTGCATCACTTTTAACAACACCGGTTTCAACAACATTGAATTGACAACGGGTCAAAAACCGTTGTCTTTGGAAGAAACGACAACGGTTTAAAACCGTTGTCTATGTTCGTGATTTTTAACAACACCGGTTTCAACAACACTTAATAGACAACGGTTAAAACACTGTTGTCGTTTATAGAAAAGACAACGGTTAAAAACCGTTGTCTATGTGCGTGACTTTTAACAACACCGGTTTCAACAACACTTAATAGACAACGGTTAAAAAATCGTTGTCGTTTCTAGAAAAGACAACGGTTATTAACCGTTGTCTATATGCGTGACTTTTAACAACACCGGTTTCAACAACACTTAATAGACAACAGTTAAAAAACCGTTGTTGTTTCTAGAAAAGACAACGGTTATTAACCGTTGTCTATGTGTGTGACTTACAACAACACCAGCTTCAACAACACTTAATAGACAACGGTTAAAAAACCGTTTTTGTTTCTAGAAAAGACAACGGTTATTTTAACCGTTGTCTATGCGTGAGACTTAAAACAACACCGGCTTCAACAACAGAAATTATACCCCTACAACAACGGTTATTAACCGTTGTCTATGTGCATTTTTCTTGTAGTATATATATATATATATATATATATATATATATATATATATATATATATATATATATATATATATATATATATATATATATATATATATATATGGAAGGTTTCAGGTGCGGGGATGGCTTCCCGTGCGGTTGGACGCACTCACGCACCTTAATCATTTACATGGCGCATCTTAAATACATAAATCACCACGCACCTTAAGTCCACAAACAAATCACCTTAAGAACACAAATCACTCACCTTAAGTACAAAATCCAAGCACATTAAGCACAGAATAAAGCACTTTGAGCACAAAACTCACACATTTAAGATTTTAAAATGTCTCACATTAAGCACAAACTCACGCACATTAAGTACAAAACTCACGCACATTAAGTACAACCTCGCGCACATTAAGCATAAAACCCACGCACTTTAAGTATTAACTCACAGACCTTAAGTTTCAACAACTACTGACATTAATCACTAACCTCACACACATTAAGCACAAACCCTACGCACATTAAGCACAAACTCCACTCACATTAAGAACAAATCTCACGCACATTAAGCACAAAAGCCCATACTTTAAGTTTTAACAACTACTCACATTAAGCACAACCCCACGCACATTAAGCACATAACTCACGCACCTTACGCACAAGACTCACGCATCTTATATACAAAACTCACGCACATTAATCACGGCACCGCTCATCTTAATTTTGACCTAGATGCAAAAATTACAAAATTACCATCGCGTTTTTTTTTTTTTTAATTTTAGTAATTCTGGACGTTGATTTAAGCGAGATGAATGACCCATATTAAATCGCACAACCGCACCTGGGCACCCTAACCGCACTAGAACCTAATTCTATATATATATATATATGATAGGGTCGGATAATTCGTTGATATATACATGCTTATAGGAGTACATCTAAGTAATTTGATGTGATCTTATACAACTTTTTTTCATTATTGTTTTTTCGTTGCAGATCTCTTGTGTTGAGCTCTATTAGTTTTTTTTTTTTTTTTTTTTTTTTTTTTTTTTTTTTTTTTTTTAAAGAATAACTTTCCTACTTATTTTCAAAGGCTCAAGGTAAATAGTTTCATGAATTTGTATGCATGTTTCCATCTCTTGTTCCCCATTAATTATTGCTTTTTTATCAATTTAACACCATATTTTCACATGTTTTGATTTTTTTTTTTCACTCAATAAACAATATAATAGTTCTTCTTATGCATGATAAAACTATTTGTAGTAATCTTTTAATATTATAAACCTATTTGTAGCAATATGTTAAGTGATAGAGATCATGAACACATAAACTGTTTGTACAGTTATTGGGAGGCAATTGATGATATTAAGATGAAGATGGGTGCAATGTGTTAATATTATTATGAACTATTTGTAGTAATAAATTTATTTTGACATATTTAAGAGAAACTAAATTCATCTTTACCATGTATGTGAAGTAAATCTGTAAATTCATCATTATTTGATTAATGTTGCTTTAATTGATAAACATTTTGGGTAGCCAAATTCTAGTACATTAAGATTGATTCAAGTGAAGTTAAATTTGAGTTTACTTTTGCCCAAGTTTTTTTGTAATTATTTTTTAGATTTTCTGTTAAATTTGTATTGATTGGTTAACATATATTTTACTACTAGTCATGTCTAAAAACCTATGCCCAATATTTATATTTTTTAAAAATAACTAACAAATTCTTACTAATTAAAATCTATATATAAAATCAAATTTATTTATTATAATAATTCAATATATAATGTCTACAAATATTATTATCATTAAAGAATATAAGAAACTATATGGTGGATACATGTATATGATAACAATAATAAAAAAAATAGCGGAAGTTATAACGGCGGAAGTTATGGTGGATACATGTACATGCCGCTTCCCATTGTTTCTATGGAATGAAGTTGCGAAATTAAAGATACTTTATATTCATAATGCTTAAATTTGATATTTTCTCCCTCATCTCATTTAAATATTTTTTTTAGTATTATAATGATCACAGAAATAATGTTTACCCCACTTTTCTTTTATCTTTATTGTAGCAAAAAAACAATTAATTTATCAAATACTTTTCGACAATCAGTTAATACTATCAACTAGTCAAACCCACTAACCCAATCAGCTAACATTATTTACCAAACAACGCCTACATTTTCCTGTTTTTTTTTTTTTTTAAACATTTTGTTATTTATACTTTATGTTTGTAATTATTATTTGAGTTAATTACCGAAATGGTCCCTTGACTATTTTTTTTGATCAATTAAGTCCCTCAACTTTAAAAATCTTAACCAATTTGGTCCTCCGTTTGTTTGACCGTTAGTCAACCGTTAACTTGGGACCAAATTGGTAATTCGCTATAGTCAAGGGATCATTTTGGTAATTAACTTTAAGCTAAGGGTGGACAATTCGATTCAGTTTTCTCGAACCGAACCGTACCAAACTAGTTAGATTCGGTAATATACCAAACAAATGAACGTTAATAGATTCTTGTATAACGAACTGAATTGTTCGGTAAAAACCAAACTGAACCGAATACCGTTTGAACTTTGGATTGCTATTTTGTTATATATTAGACTTTGGATATGGACTATGTAAACACCATAACACATAATATAGAAGTTTTGATAACAAACCATAAAGAAATCAAATAAAACATTTACGAGAGATCGATACCCGTGAGAATATGAGTTGAACGGCAGAGCAAGTAGCAAGCGACTTGGATTTACTTTTTATTTATTTATTGTTATTATTATTATTTTTATTATTATATTTTTTTTAAAAATCAAACGGTATTCGGTTCAGTTCAATTTTTTACCGAACAATTCGTATCGGTTTTTTATCGAACCGTTCGGTATACAAGAATCCAATACCATTCGGTTGTTCGGTATAGTACCGAACCAAACTAGTTCGGCTTGGTTCGAGAAAACTAAATCGAATTGCCCACCCCTAAAGTTAATTACCAAAATGGTCCCTTGACTAAAGCGAGATTACCAATTCGGTTCCAAGTTAACGGTTGACTAACGGTCAAACAAACGGAGGACCAAATTGGTTAAGATTTTTAAAGTTGAGGAACTTAATTGGTTAAAAAAAATAGTCAACGATTGATAATTTCGCTATAGTCAAGGGACCATTTCGATAATTAACTCTTATTATTTTTATAGATTTAGTACATTATTGTAATGTCACTAATGTTAGTGGTTGTAATTATTACTTTATATTTTTAGGTTTATTTTAGATTTTTCTTTTGTTTCTTTATTTTGTCAATCTCACTAAAATTACAGTGAAGCGCATCAGGGGACTAGATCAAATATAAAATTCATTTATGGCGGAAGTGGCAACAAGATGAGGCACGGATCACACCAATTAATAGAATTTTGTGTTGCAAAAACTATGCTTGGGTCTTATCCAGCTTCCCTCTAAAACTGTTATTGCACCGGTTAATCCAACATTTTTGTCATAGGTCATAGTTATACATTCTTGAAATATTTACTTTTATCAAAAATTTGATAATCTTGCATTGATATACGTCAGGATATCGAATGATACTTTGATAAATTATGAAACACTAATTTAAAAATACACATTGGTATTAAACTATATTCGTGTATACTGCGCGTGTAGTAACTAGTTATAATGATAGCAGAAATAATGTTTACACCACTTTTCTTTTCTCTTTATTGTAGCAAAAATGGAATTGGAGGAGGGGGGTTTACAACTTATATTTGGAGATGAATAACTCATTGGCTCAATGCAGGTTGCCAAGCACAAGCATTTACACTGATTAATCTATATTTCCCTGTCTTTTTTTTTTTTTTTTTTTTTTTTTTCAATTTTGTTATTTATACTTTATGTTTGTAATTATTATACATTGCACCACCTATTTTACTATTTGCACCACCTATTTAATAGGTAAAACCACTTTATAGATGGTGCTAATTAAAAAGTGCTATTTACATCATCATCATTTAATGTTGTCAAAGGCTAATATTTATTTTATATATATACTTTTTACAATCAAATTATTATTACTTTTTTTTTAAAAAAAAGAGGTTAAACCCCTGGTCTTCTCAGCGGAACTGCCTTCTCATCGGGACTGCCTTCTCACCAGAGAAGGCGATGGTTTTTTTTTTTTTTTTTGTTAATTTTAATGAATTAAATTTTGAATTAATTAATTATTACTTAAATATAATAAATTCAGTTTGACTAGGTGGTGCAAATAACATTTTGACCACCCATTAGGCTATATGCACCCCACCTATGTATTTATTATAATTACCACATTTTTATACTTTCAATGTACTTTATACCCCATTGTGGTCAAAAGGTGGTGCAAATAGCAACACCCGGGTGTTGCTATTTGCACCCCCCTTGACCAAAATGAGGCAAAAAGTACATTGAAAATATAAAAAGTTAAAAATTTATAATAAATACATAGGTGGTGCAAATAGCCTAATGAGTGGTCAAAATGCTATTTGCACCACCTTAATTAAATCACATTTATTAGGTTTAAATAATAATTAATTAATTCAATTAAAAAAAAAAAAAAAAAAAAAAGAAGACAGAAACCCGCCTTCTCCGGTGCCTTCTCACCGGAGAAGGCTACGTGAGTCGTGGGTTGCCTTCTCCAGTGAGAAGGCGATGGTTTCTTTTTTATTTATTTTTTATTTTTTTTAAACAACGTGAGAAGGAAACCCACTGGGGTGCCTTCTCACCGGAGAAGGTGACGGGAGTTTTTTTTTTTTTTTTTTAAATTTTAATATTTTTAATTAAAAAAAATGAAAAACAAATAATAATCTTTGACCATATTTAATGCTGGTGGTATAAATAGCAAATTTGTATTTACACCACCTATAAAGCTATTTGACCTACTAAATAGGTGGTGCAAATAGCAAAATAGGTGGTGTAAATAGAATTTCCCTTTTAGAATTTTAAACTTTCGTCATCGGAACTCAATAAAGACCCTACATGAATTACTTGAACCCAGAACAAATTATTTATATCTATGTTCAAACTTTGAGTATAAAAATCATCACGAGTTAATTCCAGCATTGGTCATCCGACTATCATGATTTTCACAATTGATCCACGACTTTCAATTTGGACAATTTAGACCCTTGACTATCAAAAAATTTCCAATGTTGGTCCTTCCATTCCAATGTGGTTAAGTAGACGTTAAAATGAGGGCTAAAACAATCTTTTAACATCCATAACGTATAATACATCACGGATCTCCTCCATATAAGAGAGTACGCGATTAAAATCAAAATACCCCTTTGTTGATTTGCTCCCCAAAACCCAGCAGCTACCACCCCACCGGCCCACCTTAATCTTTTGTGTCTCAATCTCTCTCTACTATCTACTCTCTCTATCTCCCTCGGCTTCACCCACGATCACCATCTCTCTCTCTCCGGCGGCAAGAGGTAACCCTATCAACGGCCACCAAAGCTATCGCCACCTCCATCCTCACTCTTCTTCACTCCCCATCGCCTTCAATTTTCTTTCCTTGCCAGCAACCGCAAATAACCATAGTAGATATTGTTGGAAAAATTAGCTTAAAATGACATAAAATGGCATAGTAAGTGGCTATTTTGTGGTACAATTATCAGTGGGGTCCACTTCTGATTTGGGTCGGGTCAAAGTGGATTCGGATTCTTCGTAGTAAGACGAAGAGATTGATATATTGTACGCTCAAAACGGATAATGGGTGAATGGGATATTGATTCTCAAAGTAGACCCATTTGAGTTGGGAAATGAAGGGAAAATAGTGGACTTTGTCCCACATTGATTTGGAAAGAAGATTTGCCCCCCTTATATACATGAGCTCTTTTGAAGCTTGTAGAATTGTATAGCATAGAGGCTCTCTCGCGCTGGGGGAGGGGGGGGGGGGGGCTGCAAATCAAAATCCAACTAGAGGAGATCGAAAAGGCTTGATTTAAGCTCGCGTGCGCCGGCACCTACGGGCACGAATGTTGGCTGGCCTTGCGGGCTAAGTTATGCCAAACCGAACCGAGAGCACCTACTCTCGTGCTCTCTGGAGCACCTGCACCCCAACGGTCTGAAACCCGAAAACAGTTCAGCCTGTTGTACAGATTAAACTCATCTCTACTTAGTGGGTGGCTGTTACAACGTACAGATTAAACTCATCTCTACTTAGTGGGTGGCTGTTACAACGTACAGATTAAACTCATCTCTACTTAGTGGGTGGCTGTTACAACGAAACTATTACCCAGCAGTGTTCTAAGATTTGCTTTGTTTGCCGGGTTCTTTGTTTAGGTGCTTAAACAAAGAATCGTAGCACGTTTTATCCTGGGAAACCTAGGCTACAACGCTCCTAGCACTTGGTGGAGGTAGCAAATAAGGTTTTAAGGAAAAGAACTTTGTGTTCGAACTCGTGCTAAACCTATATCCAAACACTCCAGCTTTTCCTTCCCAGTTTTTCTGTTTTCCCATAGAATAATAATTTTTCTGTAGAATTATTATTTTGGGATTTTTTCAACCATATTACCCAACAGATATGACAAAACAGAGATGATAGCAGATCCTGCAATGTCTTCTTCTCCTCCGGCGAGCTCAGTCAACAGAAGGCAAGCTCCGGCGTAGCAGGTGGGCGGCGGCTGCTAAACCTTCATTCTCGTTCCTCCCTCCCTCTCTCGTCAGCAGCAACAGCGGTTGGCCCTGGGCTACACCGCTCATAAGCATTTGAAGCTGGATCCTTCAGAGAGTTTCATCTGTCAAAATAGAAAAAAGTGTGTTACTAGTTTCAGCATAAACAGTGTAAGGAGCTCTACCAAAAAAAAAAAAACAGTGTAAGGAGAGCAACAACCAGAAAATTATCGTTTTCATGTTAGAATTCAGTTAATCACAAAGGATAGGTTGAAACGAATGCTAACGATTAATTAATCATAAAAATCAATAAATAAAATGGCCACAGAAAAAGGTTAATTTTATTTTCAGTTCCGAAATAAGAACATGTTTAGCAATTGTTCCCCTTCCCCCTTTGATCAATCAATTTCGTAGTGAAAATTAGACACGAAACTTTAATCAATCTGGCAATCAAGAGAGAAAGTATTGGAGAATCGAATCGTACAAGTGTAGTGCATATACAATCACATATACCTTGGCGACATAGTCGAGCTCGGCGAACTTGAAGGCGATGCAAGAGGCAGTGGAAGAGAGGGGAGAAAAGTGAACTGGCGCGAGAGAATGCGCTGACTTCTAGCTGAGTTTCTTCAGGTGATTGCGAAGTGATGATGGAGTTGGATAGGTTCTTGAAAGCCTCACCCATCTTTCTCAATGGCTTTTCTTCGTCCGCCATTGAAGAATCACCCAAGTTCTTTCTTGTCTCGTCTCTTCTCTTCTCAACTCTAAAGACTAGTGTGTCATCATTTCGAACTCCACGAATCTATTTTCTATAGTTTAAATACAAAATATTACAGAGGGCCCTCTTCCCGGCGAAGGCAACAGGTCCGACGACCTCAATCTCCGCTGAGCAGCGACCTCCATCAATCACGTATATAGAGGAGAACTACGATGTATTATATGGTATGGATGTTAAAAAGACTGTTTTAGCCCTCATTTTAACGTTCACTTAACGACATTGAAACGGAAGGACCAACATTGAAAACTTTTTAATAGTCAAGGGTCTAAATTGTGCAAATTAAAAGTCGATGACTAATTGTGAAAAAGAGTTAATTCCAGTAATAGTCCTCCGACTTTATTGATTTTTCAAAATTAGTCTCCGACTTTTAATTTGGACACTTTACGTCCCTTAACTTTCAATTTATTTCCAATTGAGGTCCTTTTGTCAGATTACGGTAAAGTAAACTTTAAATGAAAGCATAAAGTAGTCATTTCATCTGCCTAATGTATAATTCTTCGTATTTCTTCCTTGTATACACGACTTCGGGCATCAGATTCACTTAATTGTTTAATCCCTAATGGAATTTTATTCTTCGAGTGGATTTAGGGATTAAGCAATTAAGTGAATATGATGTTCGAAGTCATGCATACAAGGGAGAAATGCGAAGAATTATGCCTTAGATAGATGAAATGACTACTTTACCCTTTCATTTAAAGTTCAATTTACCGTAATCTGACGAAAGGACCTCAATTGGAAAGAAATTGAAAGTCAAGGAATGTAAAGTGTCCAAATTAAAAGTCGAGGACTAATTTTGAAAAATTAATATAGTCGGAGGACCATTGCTGGAATTAACTTTTGTGAAAAATCATGAGTCAGAGGACCAATGCTGCAACCATCACAATTATAATAGGATCGAACCCGACCCTAATCCGTGCCCATTTGAGGGTTGCCTTTCCAGTTTCGAAATTCCAAGGAACTTAATTAATAATTACGGTGATCATCGCTAGTACTGTCAAATTATTGGTACTCCTCCCAATTCTTTCCATGGAAGCATCATGCGGAATGATCTCTAATCCCACCGCAAAACAGGAAGAGGAAGAGGTTAGCAACTATATATATATTACGATTTGTAATGTTGAATTGATTTCCTTTCACTTAGAGCATCACTTCTTGTTCTTGTGCTCTTTACAAATTCGAAAACAGCTTGAAAGTGGTTCATTCTTGGTTTAGTGGTTTTGCATACTCCAATTCAAGGTGATCGAGGTGAGTTGTATTTGTGTGAGTGAAAGTCGTTGTAGGTGTTGTGTTTGATTAAAATTCTCTATCATATTTTCTATCATCTTTGATTTGGTAGTATTTTTTTGGGTGACTAGAGAAATCCACAATCTAAATAGTTAGGGAAATACTGTGTTCTTGTGATCCAAGCTAGTAAGGATTTAAGTCAGTTTAATTTGTCCATAGCTGGTCTTCTCAATTTGAGAAGGGGCCACTCTCATTGAGAGTGGATAACTTTGTGATTTTCGAGTTTAAAATATGATTAACTTGTCTGGATTTCCCCTAGCAACAAAGGTATGTACTGGGTAAACTCCACTGACCCTAATCGGTAAAAGACCACAAAAGGTAAACTAGTCTAAGTTAGTCTAAGTTATCCAAAGCTGACCGATTCAAACCAAGAAGGTTGGAAATTAAACTTGTGATCCTATGTTACACGTTTCTATGGGTTTTGATAGTATTAAATTTGTATACTTTTTCCATAACGCTTTTGATGATTCCTTGCTAAGTCATATATGGTGTTGTTTGTGCCGATTCTTTCTAAGTTCTCTTTTCATTTGCCACATAACTCCTGGCAGATAAACATATCTTTGAGGATTACTGAAACTGTGAGCGTAAAGATTAACAAATCCGAGACCGTTGGAAGACTGAAAACCTTGTTACGCCAAAAGGAAGGCATACAAGAATGCCTCCAACACCTCTTCTTGGACGGCATATGCCTCGAGAATGACAAAAGGCTGGTTGATTATGGCATCCATGGCAACTCCACCCTCAACGCTTACGTTGAAAACTCGGTGCCACTAACGTTGTCTGTCAACATCCCCTCCGCTAAGAGAACCGTAATGGTGGACGTGAGAGCTCAAGACACAATCACGACCGTCAAAGCATACATCGAGGCCAAAGAAAACATCCCTCCAAACCAGTACACTTTGTTTCACGATGGAAAGGCGCTGGAAGAGGATAAAACCTTAGCGTTTCTCGAGATCAATTCGACGCTGCTTCTTCACATGATCTGTAATCCCAAGGAAACCTTGAAGGTCTCAGTGAAAACGTTAACCGGAGAAATCGTGGAGACACAGCTTAGGATGTTGTACACCATTCTGGACGTGAAAGGCGTGGTTGAGAGCAAAGTTGGGTACCCAGTGAAGGTTCTTGGATATAGAGGAAAGCTGCTGGAGGATTCAGAGACTGTGTCATATTATAACATCGAGGATGGGTCCATCTTGGAGATCCTGCCACGAGCTACTCAGATAATCATCAAACGGATTGGGGAAAGCACATGCTTTGAAGTGTTCTTATGGGGATCTGTTAAAAATCTGAAAGAAGCGATTTTTGAGAAGTTGGGGGTGCCAGTTAATGTGCAGAAGCTGAAATTTGAGGGGAATATCCTGTATGATTCCAAGGAATTGGCAAGCTATGGAGTCAGGAAAGACTCAACCATTCATTTATTTTGAGAACTGTACTATTTGTATTCGTTATTTCATTTGGTTGGATTATTCAAATATATTCGATTCCTTGATTTTTTTTTTAAAGTTATTCAATAAATTAAGATAAAATGTAATAAAAATTTAAATTTAAATAGCATAAAAGTTTTATATTTTTTTTTCTCAACTTATATCTTTAGCTCTATTTTTAAATGTCTTAATATATATATATATATATATATATATATATATATATATATATATATATATATACACGAATATTAGTTTAATCAAATATATTCTGATTCGTATTCGAATTTGGGTTTGTATTCAAATATAGCTTTTATAATAGGAAACAAAAGATTGGTCGGAAGAAAACTTGGTCAGTCTGTAATTAATGAAATTCTTAGCTTGCTGTTCTTTTTCTTGATAGGGCGTGCTTATTAGAACTCTATGTATTTGAGTCAGTTTTATCCCAGCCATCATATAATTCATTCAGTTATCATCTGGTATCAGGTTAGGTTCTCTGATCTTTTTTTCCTCACCTAGATTTCGCTTGACGCGCTCGTATAGGCAGCAGCTGTGCGTGAAACGCGCACAACACCTTTCCCTCTCCATTTTGCTTTTCTAACATTATTTCACGGCTGGAAAACATTGATTTTCCGACCACTCGAAAGTGGTCGGAAATCACTAAAATCCCGACGGAAACCACTGTTCCAATCACTTTTGGGATCCGGAAAAACACTTGTCAGAAATTCCGACCACTCTATCAAGTGGTCGGAACTTCCGTCCACAATAATAGGTGGTCAAACATTTTTGGTCACTTGCGAAAGGGGGCTGACCATGTATTTTCGACCTTCTTACGGTTGGAAATTTCAGACCAACCACCAAATGGTTGGAAATCACAATCCGTTGACTATAAGGAATTACAATTTTCCGACCACCATTTGGTCGGAAATATCTATCCCTTACATTTCTGGGATTGTGATTTCCGACCACTTGGTGGTCGGAAACCAAATGCCAAAAATTATTTATAAAAAGAATTTCACTGTTTTTAATTTACCTTGCAATAATTTTTTTTTAAATAAAAATACTTTTATAACAATGTAACATTACCAAAAATTAGCAATTTTATAATAATGTAACTTCACATTTCAAAAAAAAGTAGCTACTTCACATTTCAAAAAGTAGTAGCTACTTTACAATTCTAAATATTTCCACCATTTACAGCACAAGTACTTAGTCAAAAGATTACACTGGAGATTGGGTATCATCATTCACATTGATATTATCTAAACCAATACCACTACTTTGATTGCTATGAGCTATATAGGAACAACAGATTGTAACAATTCAGGATGTGCACTACATAACAACTCCAGAATCTTCTTGTTTTGCTCCAAAATCTCCTTGTTGCTCTGCTCCAATTGTTTAATTCTCTCCTCACAAGCTGCATGTGAGGATGATTATCTATATGTAGATTTTTTCGCCTCGCCACCTCGGGGAAGTAATGTTGGGTACTTGATCCTATCCCAAAAACAGGACCTCCCTTCTTCAAGCCACATGTTGCCTCATACCAAATAGTTGCTGGTTCAAGTTCTGATTGATTTTGTTGTTTTTCATTTACAATCTCCTATATTAATAAACAATTAAAATCAGAAATGGAATTAAGTACAAATTCCAATTTTATTGAAAAATTCCAGTAAATGCAATTAATTCTAGTAAACTGGAAGAAATTAATTCCAGTAAAAAAACTGGAATTAATTCCACTAGAACTGGAAGGAATTAATTCCTGTAAACTAGAATTAGTTCCAGTAATGGAATTAATTCCAGTTTAGTTTACTGGAATTAATTCTAGTAAACTGGAATTAATTCTAGTTTAATTTAGTTTCAGCTTCGAGTAAACTGGTTTCCACATTCAATATTTCCTCTACTGGTGGGAACTAATTTCTTCTATATTCAACATTTCAATCAATCATAAATAGAAGCAAAAATTCAAGATAGCCAAACAATAGAATCAAATCATTTTTTTCGTTATATAGAGGACAAAATACAAGTTATCAACCTTAATATACAATACTCATAATAAGCTAAGGTTACTCAATACCTATTGTGCAAAGATTAAAACCTAACAGTGAACCACACTTCAATACTTAACTAGTAGCTTATAATTGTAACACCCCATTTTTTCTAAAACTTAATTACAATTCTAATCCATAATTAACATAACTAAGCAGCGGATAAATAACTTAAACAAGATAACTAGTGGGAATGTTACCGCCACAACCACCACTCCGTAGTGATTGCACAGGCTAAGGGTAGAACTAGAAAATCGAATAAATAACTAACCATCCATCAACTTAAATAAGCATAAGGGGGATAAACACACCCCGATGTCTACATCATCGAAAAATAACAAAATATCATAAGTCTAACATCCGATAGATAACGACATAAACAAGTCATAAAGAGTTTAGACATCTCAATCTAAAAGACTAGTCTAACTCGATCAGTTCTCACTGCTGGGCCCACCTGAAAGGAATTTTACAAGCAACACATAGACAAATAAGAAAACACCCGTTAGCACGAAGCTAAGTATAAACACACTCAACCCTGTAAAGTACTATAGCATATACTTTTGGAAAACATTTGATAATAATCGTATACAGCAAACTCATCTCATAGACAGCTTTAGTCATATCACATACTTTCTATATGCTTGCAACCTATAATATCAACAGACATGCTTCGGTACAAAAGACTTAACAACTTAGATATTTCAACACGTAAACGTCTCAACAACTTAACAATCAACTCATGCTTACAAGTAATATCATGCTAATAAACCATACGAAAGTTATTCTCATGCTCTCAAGTTCTCATCATGTAACTGGATATACAAGACTTCAAATGTAACTAAACAATCATGCTCGATACACAATCTTAAATCAACACTCTCATTATGCAATCTCAGGCAATACTCTACTCACATGCAATCTCGTGCAATGCTATAAACATACTCATATGAAATCTCGTGCAACACTATAAATATACTCATATGCAATCTCGTGCAACACTATAAATATACTCATATGCAATCTCGTGCAATACTATACTCATATGCAATCTCGTGCAATACTATAAATATACTCATATGCAATCTCGTGCAATACTATACTCATATGCAATCTCGTGCAACACTATAAATATATTCATACACTCGTTGTAAAAATAGAGTATTTTCTGTGGAGGTTTCATTGAGTCATAAATGACTTGCTTTCTTTCTTTCTTTCTTTAGAGTCGCAATGACTCACTTCTTTCTCTCTTAGAGTCGCAATGACTCATTCTTTCTCTTTTAGAGTCTCAATGACTCATACTTTCTCTTTAAATGGACGAGGTAGGAACTTCATCATGTGAATGAACCTATCTGGGCACGGCGTCTAGCCGACCTAATACTCTGCTCGTCTACTGAACCACTCTCTTAGTTCTATGCTCAAACTCTGTGGAATCAGGCATCGAACTTTTAGCGTGCACACCTCCTGACCAGGATTCCTAGCCTGGCGGGCAGTTTCCAACCTCGTAACGTGGACATACACCGCATTACATATACTGGGATCGCAATGTCCATAAAATCATCCGAGAGGACATAGTCCAAACGGGGTCCTCCAAAACCTCACCGATATAGATAATACATAAATATATCTCTCATGCATCAATCTCATGCATGCAACAACTCTACAACTTCTCAATGCATCAAATAATGATATACCACATGCTTATGGATTTTTTAAAGTAATACTTGGGCTCACGTTGGCCACTTATGCATTTTTGAAATATGATATATGTGAGATGCAAAATACTCTACAACATGCTCCAAATCCATGTATATAATCCATAAAATTCTCAAGGATACAATGTCATACTCGGTTTTCAACATAGAAAATTCTATATATTTCTATCAACAAAATATGCTTCAAATATCACATTCTAGTCATGGTTTCATAACAAATCATATTTTCAAAGTGATCATGCTTCTCTACTCAATACAAATATAACATCAGACAACAAGGCAAAACATTTCTCTTTCACAGTGAACTTCAAATACACATACTGTGTAGCAAAACCATTACTAAATCCATCATAACATGCTCTTTTTGAATCCAAAATCAACGAAATCAAAGCCAAAACGTGCGTCGAGACGGGGTCGAGGTACCAAGCCACAAGGGCCCGTGACACCTGGCACGAAACGACACGTAGCTGAGCCACAAGGGCCCGGCCACTGCACAAAACCTTCCAGAATGAAACTCAGGGACCTAGGGAGGGACTCCTCAAGAGTCGCCCCAAGTAACCCGTCACATGGTCGGGCCTAGGCAACGACCCTCTCCTAGGGCCGTGCCCTAGGCCCAGTTGGCCCCGGCTCTAGCCGGCGGCCCTCCTGATGGGCCGTGGCTAGGGCCGCTGCTCTGATCTGGTGCACATTGTGTGTGCACCAGATGGAGATTTTCACCTGCAAAAATTATTCCAAGCATGTCCAAAACGTCCAAAACATTCTCAACACTTCAAAGACAAATACTAAATCACTTACAAGCTTAAACACAACAAAATCTCATCATTTCTACTCATTTCTACTCAATAAAATAGGCTTCACAAAGCCAAAATCAAAGAGGGAGTCCATGGGGTTATACCTCTTGTTGCCCCTTCTTCTTGTATGGATCTCTACCTCCTCTCTACTCAACACCACCTCCTTCACCACCGAAACAGGCCAAGACTAAGAAACCTTAGAGATTGAAGGCTAAGAGAATATGAAACCTTAAGCTAGGATGGAAAATGAATGTTGAAACTTACTGCAATTTTTCTTTCTTCTATCAGAAAAGAGTTTGGGAGAGGCAAGGATGGAGATCAAGGAATAACAAATGGATAGTGTTGTTTATATATGGTGCAAAACCCTAGGTAAAAATGCCAATGATTGGTTGAGGGAAAAATGATAAGAATTTGGCTAGAATATGTTCTCAGGCAATGTTTCTTGGAGTGGTGTGGTTCACCTAGCATCATGGACCAAGGGCTAGAAATGCT